GTATGACTGTTTTCTCACAATATAATGACTTTTAGGGTAGTTTTACAACTCTGTCCTGTAAATTTACAGCTTTTTGTAAATCTATGACTTTATTCTTGCAATTTTTCCCTGCATACTTCAGACTTCTCTTCTCTTAATATTATGACTTTCTTCTCAAAATCGTTTTGTTTTTCACAGAAAAGATTTCACATAAACCAACTCCTTTTTCCTCTTTCTATATTTGTAACATAATTTGCATCATGTACTAAAAAAGCTCTTTTCACAGAAACACACACGATTTCTGATAATGTCTCTATTTACCAAATGGTGAGAGAGCAAACGTGGGCACAGCTCCCTGGGTGAGGAAGGGGTTGAGAGGACTCACGGGACTTTGGTCCAGCCCAGGCGGAGAGATCGCTGCAAACACAAAAAGAACAAAGACGGTTAGTGCGAAGCCTCAGCTGTCCACGGTGTCAGGTTGCAGCAGGAACACGACTCTCATCTCTATTACCAGTGCAGATTCAGCAAATTCCACTATAAACAACCAAGCTGAATAAGGTGTTTGTACGGCATGATGTGATATGGTTAGAGGTGGATACACAAGCAAACAGTTTCTACAGGATTACATTTTTTAGAACATTTATAGACAATTGATATTACTTATTTATTTTATAACCACAATTACCTCTGAAGGACGTTATGTATATGTCTGTATTTGTCTTTATGTCTGTCACTTACTAGGATTATGCAAAACCTACAGAACAGATTACCACCAAACTTTGTGGAAGGATGTTGTTTAGTTCAGAGAAGAACACATTAAATCTTTGGATTCCAGATCAGGGAGTGAATCAAGGAATGTTTTTCAATTTCTTTTACATTTCTCAGACTAAACCAGGCCCATTTATGGGACAGATATTCACGAGTGTGTGTAATTTGGTGCAGATCCAAATAAAAAATCGATCTAGTGAATTTGGATGTGGTTTCATAAGTAGACTGTTTGTGGAGGTTTCTTAATAATATCAATAGTTTATCACATATAACCTATAGCCCTTTTCTTATTTTGCACACACACAAAACAACACCCTGTTATACGCAGTTGACAATGTCTGTTTGGGGTATACACAACTTTCCTCTGATGCTTTTCATTTGCTTTTTATGATGTTTTTATGTATTCCCTTGTTGATTTGTGTATTTGAAAAGTCCTTCTAAGGACTTGTTAAGTGAATTTGCTTGGACTATAAATGTTTGACTGGGTGGCATTTCTGCAGGGACACTCGCCCCTATAATAATAAATCTTAGATAAATAAATACATTTTATATGTGGGCTTAAATCTGAAATTTGCCTAAAAAGGTTTTACAATGTGTATAACATACAACGCCTTTTCATGCAAAAGGATATATGTGTCAGTAAAAGTCAAATAAACCCTTTAAAGGGTTCTTTAAAGATGCTTTTACATTGTACATTGAATTCATTCCTGACAGCCAAAAGTCTTGCTAAAAGACTTATTAGTAAGATGAGCATGAACTCCTTTATAGACTCACCTGCTGTTGCTTCCATAAATAAGTTTGATGCAGTGTCACCAGCATCTGTCGAGTCTGTCTGTGCAGCAGGATTTGAAGAACCTACAATCACCACTTCTCTGACTACAAATCACAGAAACACAAGTCACATGAAGAGAGATGATGAAAGAAACAATTTGTTCCAGATAAAAACACAGATCTGACACAAGCCTTTTGCATCTACCTCTCTCGTAGATGCTGATAAATCCTCCCTGGCAAACCTCCTGCAACAGTCCTTTAAAATCTGACACAGCTGTCATCACTGTGCTGAAGGTGAGATTGGGGTCAATGGTGACTGGAGGCAAAGCTGACAGCTCAGGTGGAGCGTGGAAGGACTGACAGCTCTGCAATCACAAACACACAGAGCAGGAGGGAAATTAAGTCTGACGTGTGTGTTTAAGTCACAGAGTTTCTGTCCTGAAGATCTGAAGGAGAGAATAAATCTGAGTGGAGTTACTTGGAGGAAGTGGATGTGGTCGTCGGTGTGGGAAAGTTTGTCCAGTTCGGCCTCGCTCTTCTTCAGCTCGGCGATCTCCTTCTGGATCTTGTCCAGCAGCTGCTCAGCCTGACTGACGGCCGTCTTCTCCTGGGCTTTGATCAGCTCCCTCACTTCAAAGCGTTTCAGCTCGATCGACCGAATCAGCTCGGTGAAGAGGGCATCGCTTTCTTCAGCTGTGGCCCGAGCAGAGCGCTGGCAGAAAGCAGATGCAGATTCTCACATGATTTACTTGCCACAAAAGAGTGGTGCTGCTTCCCAATAGAAATATATGAATAAATTGTACACTGTTTACACCAATAAAGATCTATCTATTTAGTGAACTGCTGCATTTATATATCTGACAGAACTGAGAGTTAGCTCTTACCGAGACAGAGAAAATGGCCTGTCTCAGCTCCTGGACCTCCTTCTCTCTGAGCTGAATTCTCAGCTGTGAGCTCTGCTTCATGTCGCCGAGCTGCCTCTGAGGAAAAATGTTGTGAAAAAATTGAATTAAAGCCACGTAAACTTTTACAGAAATTACAGAATGTTCGTCTTCAGAAATATGCATTTGCTTTCGCAGCCAGGGGTCAAGGGGAACCGGTGAGAGAAAAATGTTTGTCGGCACCACAGTATGCTGTAGTAAAAAAAAATAACAGGACCAGGTCTGAATCAAAAAAACAATTGAAGTTAATAATAATATGGTCCTCAGAGAAAGTTTGAACCATTAAGGCCCCTTGTGGAAACAGAGGAGGCTAATTTAACTGTTCTTTGAGAGACCTCAAAACTGAAATTCCTGTGTTTTGTTTAATCCAGACCACATCAGAGCAGCTGTACTAACACGTACTAACACGTACTAACATGTGCTAGATCAACAGGGGCTCTCTAAAGACTGTGTTTATGAAAATAGAACAAATGGTGAGTTCATAGCTTTTTATTTATCTAGAGTCTTGACCATATTAGACCAGGCCAAGATTGAGGATTAGTACATTTAAGACGTGCCAAACCTGGACTCAAATAATGTTGGTGCTCTAGTGGCCCAGAGGCACAGACCATAAACCACAACATCCTTTCTCTGTGTTTGGCTAAGGACGTTTGTTTGAGGTATTATCACACCAAGCAGTTTTTAACCCATTCAAGTCATCCTCTGTCGATCAATCAATGATCAATGATGTTTTACATCAAGTCTGACGTTATTTACTTTATCAGTGGTCAAACAGTCCTTTGGGGACATTTCCCTGATAAATTAAAGAACTGATCAAAGAGGCCAGATAAGTGCTGGAGGAGGATTATCTACAATCGTCAATAGTTAGTAAATGATGTATTCAAAGTTAATAAAAGTTTATAACCTCTTAAGAAACTGGCACTATAAGTTTTTGTCCTTAAGTTTGTGAATAAGAGTTAAAGTGAAGGGTCTTCAATGTAATTTATAACTTTTAGTATTTTGATCAGAGCATCAATCTAAACACTTGATCATTCAACATGTGTTCTGTGTCTCATCAGCTCTGACTCGATCGCTGATCATCACCTGTCTGTCCTGAGCCTCTGTCTCAGCCAGCACCGTGTCGTGTCCCTTGTGCTCGTCCGTCAGACACAGGTAGCAGATGCACTGTTTGTCGGTGCGGCAGAACACCTCCAGCAGCTTGTCGTGCCGGGGACAGATGGTCTCCTGCAGCTTCTTGGAGGCCCACACCAGCCGGTGCTTCTTGAAGGCGGCGGACTCGTAGTGGGGCCGGACGTGGACGTCGCAGTAGGAGGCCAGACACACCAGACACGACCGGACAGCCCGGTTCTTCCTCCCGGTGCACACGTCACACTCCACGTCGTCGCCCTCCGCGAAGCTCTGGCTCTCGGGCGTCGCGGCCTCCTGGAGTCCGGTCTTCCGGAACTTCTCCACCACGTCGGCTAGCATCGTGTTCCGGGCCAGAGGCGGCCTCGGGTTGAAGTTGTGACGGCACTGCGGACACATGAAGACCCCCAGGTAGTCGTCCTGGTCCCAGTAGTCCTGGATGCACCTGGAGCAGTAGCTGTGTCCGCAGGGGATCGTCACCGGGTCCTTCAGCACGTCCAGACATATGGAGCAGTTAAACTGGTCCCGGTCCAGCACCACCCCGGCCTGGGCCATCGAGCAGTACCGACAGTAAACACGTGGAGAGAGAGAAACCGGTGAAAACAAAAGAGAAACTGCAGAAGACAGAGGAGGACGCGAGAAGACCACCGGACAGAGGCTGACGCTTTGTTTACAGGAAGTCCAGAACATAAGGGGCGTTACCGGAAGCGGAAATAGGGGGGCTTTAAAAGTTAAATCCACTTGTGTTTTGTTAAGTTCAGTAGAAAGACACAGTTTACAGCTGCCAGACGAATACACAACAGTAAGAAGTAATTTAGTGAAGTACAAGTATCAAGTTGCATTACATGGAGCAGTTAAGTAAAACGACTGGATACAGTAGCTGAGGTTTTTCATTTTTAAATAACACATGAT